GGTTAAACTAAATATTAGAAAACTGACGTTATAAAAACGGTGGTGAACCAGCTTCATGCTTCATGCACAGAAAATTCCACCTTAAGACTATTGATTCTTTGTCTCTATAATGCCCCCTTTAAAGATGAAAGATATACAAGTAAACAACAGCATGTTGAAAGGACATAATATAGAAACCCATGCTGGCACACACATTCAACAGCAGTCTCGGCTCTCTTTATGAGATCATTTTCTGGTTTGATCAACCTCCGGCACCGACCGGTAACTCAGCAGCTCTTCTTCCCTGCAGTGGGTCGGTGGACTGCGAGCGGCTGAGATGATTTTACCGAGCCGTGGTAAATTAGGGGAGCTGGGCCAATGACCCACGGCCACATGGCTCACACTCTCAGTTGCTATTTTTAACTTAGAAATTTCAAGAAGCACTGAAGTCATCAAAAATGCTCCTTGACTGCTGTTCCAAAGAAAATGAAATGTGGAAAGTAGGACAGAAATTGCTACATCTTTCTTGGCTTTTGAGTTTAGGGGGTGTCATTAGTGTCCAGTTGAAAAATACTATTCCAGACTCTCACATCATATAAAACATGACTTCAAGTGATTTTTGGCCAAATAGATTATCTAAGAATGAGCTTGCAGCCAGTTATCCAAGGTTATGTAACTCAAAAACTAAATGAATGTTGAGCTTTTGAGTTTTTACACCAACTTGCTTTTTTTTTTTTTACCTGAACAAATCTCTCTTCAGAACGCTATGCTCACACTCACAGTTGCTCACATTCACACCTTGTCTCACCTATTGGCATAAACCACAGTCTCACCTATTGGCATAAAACTGAAGATGAAGGAGCAGGTAGAAAGATTTTCTCTACAGGGATCTCCTGGTGACAGGAGCCGCTTCTGAGGCCCCCACTGCTGTGACACAACACAAAAAATCTCCCCCAACTGAGTAATTTACTCTGTTATTGAATGGATGTTTTGAGTTGAGTTATTACACTAGATCTTTTTGACAAGTTGGTTTCACCAGTTATGTTGTATGATTGTGAAGTTTCAGGATTTGAAAAAATAGATATATGGGAAAAACTACATTTCAAATTTCTTAAGTACACCCTAAAAGTTCAAATGACAACCTGCAATAAAATGGTATGAGGGGTTGTTAGGAAGATACCCATTCTGTGTCGCAGTTAAAAAGAGAATTATTGGTTTGAAGGGAAGAATGTAAGCATAATGAATAACAGAGAAAGGTATTTGATTATAAAAGTATTATTCAAACCACCCATTTATGTTTAAATCAATTGTCTAACAATCAGATAAGGCTAAAGTTAGTAAACTATATATCTTTTTGAAGAAAAATGTCCTTTGTTTAAGCAACACTTGTTGTACTTAAGTCGTTTGCAATCATTTTATTATTACTGTGTATTTTTTTTTGCTCCACCTGAGTTGCAAAAATATATTTTTTTGTAAAATATGTCAAACCATCTGGGTTGAGAACATGTAGCAGATTTTTCAGTAGAATTCAAACTGTTTGTGTCATTTCCTCGATACTAGAGCAACATTATTCTCTTTAAAAACAATCATCTACAGACATAAAACGTCTGAGACAAAGGAAACTCCACTGTTGACAAGTGAAATTATCTTTCATATGAGGAAAAACATATCTTGAAGGCTGAATATGAGACAGTTGTTAAATTGGATTTCTGTTAGATTGTGGTTTTGCAGTTCTACTGGGATTCCACGCTCCTATCTATAGTTGTATAAGTCTGGGTGAGTTGATGAGGGTGTCAATGGAAAGACCATGTGTTCAGCTGCTGGCTGGACTGTGGAGTTGGGAGGAGAGTTGTGGTCTAGACATTAGTTCTCAGTCCAGTCGCCTAAACCTGCTGTCAGCCTCATAAAACACCTCCTCAGCTGCCCAAAGTAACTACACCACTGCCAAATATCCACAAAGGATTTTCTTCAGTGCACCACTGTGGTCATGAAGGTAATGAAGTATACGCTGGTTTCCAGGCTGCTGACTTACAGCTGTCTACATTCACTTGTGCTTCAAAATGAGTTGACCTGTCGTTCAAATAGTTGTAAGGTATTGGTACTGTGATTGATTCAAAAGCACAGATCTGAAAGAAAACTAAAAAAAATATTTGTCTACCCTCGGAGCGACTCTGGTTGGCACAAAGGGATCAAACTGCTACTGTTGACTCTTTGAGCTTCAGGTTGGGAGCTAATTGGAATTTTAGGAAATTATACCAAAATCCTAAGTAGGATCTCTGGTGTAAAGGGAGATTTAATTTATTTTTTTCCAAGTGAATCAAATGAATTGTAAGTAAGTAAAGTAAGCTGAAATTGGAAATGTTAAATACATGCTTGTGCTCCAGAAGATTGTGCTGTGCTTTGAACCAAAATTGATAGTTACTTATATGAAAAAGTCAGTTATAACTTCAAACAATGTAGACATGCGCAATATGAACATATTGCTAAGATGGGAGCCTTAAATCTATACACCTGCATGGCAGCTGTGACATTCATGGATCAAAGTTGATTTCCACGCCTGCGTCTGGTTGCCAGGCACTCCCTGGACAGCTGCTACTCCAACATGTTTCTCTGTGCTTTACGCTATTGGTGCAATTTGTTCAGCAATGAATCAGTGCCTGGTGAACTTCTATGGATCAGTGGTTACATTCTTTATTCTGTTGTTTTTCAGCTCCACACCATATTGATTCCAGAGCGAGGTGAAGCCAGAGGGAAATCAAGAGCTTTTTATGCTACCTCATATATCAGTAAGCTGAAGCAATAAGTACCAGAGTAGCATGATGAATTGTACTCAGTATGAATCGCACTGGGACACAACATATTGATTTCTCCATGACTGAGCACATTTTGGTGTCCCTGTGTGGCAGGTGGTACTCATGGACCTTGGGGCCAACAGATGTGATTGCTCTGTATGATCCTGCGGTGGTCAGTTTTCATCATAAATCCAGTAGGAACATCATGTTGTCATCACTCTACACCAGTTTTAAGACCCTGACAAAGTGCTGGTGCAGTCTGTGTCCATCCCCATTGACGCCAGTGTCAGCCAAGTAAAGTCCCTCTAGGACAGGTAAGATTCACAAGCAGGTGGTGTTTGGTGAAGGGGGACATTAAGGGCCATTTGGCCTCTGAGCATCATCACAGAAGAGATATAGACGACCTTGACTAGAGAGAAAAATCTATTATTATATTATTAATGTTGCAAACAGTTCTGATGAGGACGGTCTCACTGCATGACAAAGTAGGCTGGAACCCTAAATTCCTGTGATTGGTGTCGGGACAAAATGGACGTCAGTGACATACTACAGCTTAATGTTTTTAATCAGGGAAGGCAGGTGTCTGTGTCTTGATTGCTTTGGCTTTGGAGGGACATGACCGGTAATTTGGGACATCTCCATCTATCCCTGAACTATCCTTAAGTGGTTTCAAGGTTAAAACACTGTGGCCTTTAAGCCACCAGATGCTAGGGTCTTTTCTGTGCTGTGCTCCCACAGTTTTAAGTACCTAAACAGAATAAGCAGCACAAGAATGAATGGATAGGCACAATATCAACTGAGTCGGAAGCCTATAAAGCTATAGAGCTGTGTTAGGAACTCTAACCATACTGGACAGTAGATCATTGTTTTTTTTTTGTTTAAAAGACTACACAGGCACGATTCACAGGCAGGTGGTGTTTGGTAAAGAGCGACATTAATGGCCATTTGGCCTCGGAGCATCATTTTAGCTCACAGAAGAAATATACACGACCTTGACTAGAAAGGAAAATCTCAGTGCAGTGGAATTTCACACGTACAGTATTATTAATGTTGCAAACACTTCTGATGAGGACGGTCTCACTGCATGACAAAGTAGGCTGGGACCCTGCTCAACCATGCTGCCTTCAGGATATGTGGGAACTGGAAACGTTATGACTCAGCCTGTCCTACACCCCAAATTCCTGTGATTGGTGTCGGGACAAAATGGACGCCAGTGACATAATACAGCGTTTTTCAGTATGACATTTCTACTCCTGAAAACAGCATTAGTCAGCTCTGAACATGCCACAAGATTGCCAGGAGTGAGCCCAAGGTTCAAGATTAATACTAATTAAATAACTAATTAATTTACATTTATAATTTTGTATTGTACATCAATCTCCATAATGATCTGTTTTGACTTTGCATTGCAAAGACACTGAAGCTTTCCAATCAGTGCTCACTGGCAGACAGCAGACAGAAACAAGCCTGAGAGTGAACAGCGGGACGTGCATGGACGTGTTAAGAGGGCAGTGAGAGGTAAATTAATTTAAGTGACAATGTTTATTTGAATGCATAAGCGCTGTTCCTTAACAGCAACAAGCATCTGCTCACTTACAGCCAAACAGATGCCTATTAACATAGTGCCCTGCACATATGTTGGTAATACAGAACTGCTTGGACTGCATACTGAGCACTGTGACACTAGGCTGTCTATAAGTTTCATTTTCATTCAACTACTTTTAAGTCTTGTTCTATGATCAAATGTTCCTTCTGCCAAGACCCAAATGGACTCACAAGGCTGACTCACTGAATCGGAATCCAAACCAGGCATATAAAAACAAAAATACTTTAAAATGGTTTGAAATAGAACTTGAAAGAAACAATTACATCTCCCATTTTTATAGCAAGACAGTGAAAAAGTCCTCGAATACCCTCTGCTGCTCTCCATAAATCTTGGATGGCTAGTTTTGCAGAGCGAGGTCATACATTTTTCATCCGTACCACTTCTGAACCGGTGACCAGCTGACGCAGGTCCCCACCACCAACCCCAAATCAATAAATCAGCAGGTGTTCTGTGACTCTGTTGGCTGTACATCTCAAATTCTTCCTGACAGCATGGCTTACTTTCTCTCTCACTACACATCCACCAAAGACTGTATGTCTATCTCATTCACACACACACACACACACACACACACACTTGCCTAAGTGCCTGCGTGTGAAGATAGCTCAGGGACTTTCGCTCACCTCCCTCAAACTCTGTCTGACAGTTTCCAGAATTTTCCTTCAGGCTCTCTTCCTCGTTGATGATGATGTTCTCAATGTCCTTCATGGTCAGGTGGTCGCGGAAGGCGTAGAACAAGATGTGTTTCAGCTCCTCCAGGGTGATCCTCTGCATGTCGAACTGCAGGAGGTGAGACATGAGAGGAGGAGATTTAAAAAAAAAGAGAGACCATTTCCCTTTACATAAATAAACTGTGTGTTCTGCACTATACCAGGCAGGATACCATATTAACCAAACTGGTACTAATTCATGTGTACTCAAGTGAAACAACTCTTCCACAATTTTAGGACTAGTGTTCAAGCTTCAGTAAAACAAATAAAAACATCACCACACCGTCACCCGAAGTTGTGCAGCACAAACATTTTGCTGCCAACAACTTACAATAAATAATGTGCACCGCAAGTACAGAAAAAAAACTAAAATGCATAAATTATCATGCATGTTCTTGTAATTCCTTACCATGCACATCCCAGTGACTCTTACACATGTCGCTCTGATGCATTCACTTTAATCAGAGTGTCGCACAAAGTTGATGAATTGATTAAATTGAATGTGCTGGAGCATGAAAGTGATGGATTTATTGTTCAGTTTTATCATTTACACAATTGAATCCAAAAGAAGTCACACACACACACACACACACACACACTAATGCCACAACTTGTAAACAGAGGTTTGAAGGTCTTACTGAGAACAAAGACCAACTTCTAAGTTTTTGTTTCAAAAGTTGAGAGAAACTTTTAGCCTCTAGCTTGACATGATGAAGACCTTGTTGGCCACTGGTCGCATCCCCTGCTTGAAACCCACACTCCACCTAATGCTTGAGAGCTGTAATGAAAAAACTGATGCAATTTTCTCTGCATTAGGCAGCTTAATATCAGCAATACAATGAAGCCAAACAGAAATAAAAGGTGCCAGAGGCAGGAAATGACTGAATGTGATACAAACCTGTCTGAGAATGAAATAAATATCATCAGAAAGTCCAGAAGCAGTCCAGAAGGAACACATTCCTCTGAATCACTCTGAATGTTGGCATCAACATACCCCCTCATATTTACTGACTCAATGAACACAACACATTTTTTCAGGCTATTGATCAAATGCTCATTGCTGCACACACCTGATGACTAACTGATTATAAGCACTTGTTTTGTTTTTGCCTTATGCTGGTTTAAAGTGATGCAACAGACTAACAAGGAGGAGATTTTCCTCCCTCCCTTGTCTAAAGCTGTAGGCATGACAGAAACCTTTATGACATATTTAGTATGAGGGAAATATAGAACAGGAAGGGCAGGTCTTTTCCTCATGATTGGCCTGATAGGCTTTGGAGGGACATGGACCGGTAGTTTGGGACGTCTCCATATACCCCTGAACTGAACACTCTGGCCTTGAAACCCACCAGATGCTTGGGTCTTTTCTGTGTTGTGCTCCCACAGTCTTAAGTACCTGTTAGAGTCCCTGCCTTCCACCAAGTGCATGCTGGGATGCGACCCTGAACAGAATAACCTGCACAGAAGACGGATGGACGCCCATAAAGCTGTGCCAGGCAGAGGAGAGAGCGGTGTTAGGAACTCTAACCATACTGGACAGTAGATCATTGTTTATTTTAAAAAAAGAGAACACAATTATACACAATGCCTTTTTTAATTAGGGTTTGAATCAGGCTCATAATGTGTACCATTTACAACTGTTATGATTATGAACCCTTAACAGTTAGTGGTTAGTGAGCAGCTCTGGAAACTAAATTACTTTTAGTGCAATAAGCAGTGAACAAACTTATGACTTGTGATAAAAAATGCACACATCACAAGGACGGATTCATGGCTCTTGCAAAATGTAAAAATAGCCCACTGCTACATGAACATGGGAGCATGCTGAACCTAAATCTCAAATTTCAATCGCTCAAATGGTCTGATACCAATTTTAAAGCACAGTCTGGGGCATGATGTCATAGACAAGCAATCATGTTGCTTGTAAGTAAATAAAAGTTGTTTTTTTTTCCTGTGACCTTGTATCTTTTTTAGCCCTGACTGAACCACAGGACAAAGTCCTCTTCCAAATTTTGAAACAGTGTCAGTGAATCGAATCGGTGGTTAAAAAAAATAAATTAATAAAAATGACTCAATGAACTTGCAGAGGACAAACTGGGTGGATCTTATGGTGCAGTTAATATTACTGTTAAAGTATTTTGTTTTGGGTGTAAAAGCAGAAAGACTCCAAAGTGCATTTATATAGATTGAAATGGATTTTAACAAGTTACTGATTATATTAATTAATTGAGGCATAGACTGGGCATTTTTACATGTCTGTGAAGCGGGATAAGGTAGAGGCGAATACTCATTCACTGGACCTCTTGGCAATCCCTCTGGGTATATAATTACATAAATCACTGCATAAATCAGACCTGGACATAAATCACACTTACCATCAATACCATTTGTTATCTCTCCACCTCAGAGGATGAACACACACACACACCAATCACACCTCAATGTTAAAAGGCCTCCATAAAGATTCATTATCATAGCTAATTAAAAGTTGTGGGTCAGTGTTTCATCTTTTGTTTGCTGGGTCATTAATCAAAGGAGAAAGTAAATGTAGATGTTGGCAAGACAAAGGTATAATAAAAGGTACATAATAATATAGTAATAAATCACATGTGCTTCAGTAAAATGTAAACTAAGTGCAGAATAAATTATTATTCCATATGTTGGCTGTATGAATGTGCATATGTAAAGATCAAATGGGGTGTTGCAAAGTGCACCAGTTTAGTTTTGGCTGTTTAGCTGTTAAAATATAGATACATACACCAATAAGCCATAACATTATGACCACTTATAGGTGAAGTTAATAACACTGATTATCATGGCACCATCAGTGGGTGGGATATATTAGGCAGCAAGTGGACATTTTGTCTTCAAAGTTGCAGCACGAAAAATGGGCAGCATTGTGAAAAAAGACTCAGTTTATTGAAGGTATCACAGGATTATATCACAAAAAAGCGAAGAACTCAAATGAACGTGTTCCGATGCTAATAAGCTACAGCACACTTTTTGGTCCTCCATATTCACAACCAGAAACATACACCAACACTCTGTGACCCTCTTACACAATCATTGATGGCCCATATCCATCTCATATCACCCATTATGTGCAACGGCATAAAACAGATGCTTTGTTTTTTGCCTCAGAAACAGATGAGATGTCCCACAGACAACAGTGCTCTGTTTATTTTTCCCCACATCTCCCTCTGGGGAACAGAGAAAGAATTAAACTCTACGCTGTCCTGAAGAGACAGATCCACCGGGAGCGTTCCTGCATCATCTGCCACTTAAAGTTACAGCCAACTCCTGTGTCACTTCTCCCCCAAGGGAGACAGGTCGGCAGCCTAATTGTGTTTACTCGACCTTCACGCAACCTTGCTGCTCCTAACGATGCCATCGCCGGAAGACATCAAGAGAGTGCCGGAGCTTCATTTGCCAGGGAAAAGAGGGAGGAGCCAGAGGATAGATTCATTCAGTGAGCACTCCAGTGGCAGATAAGAAAAAGCCATTTTATTTCCTCTTTCCACATCCCACGACTTGCTCAGACTACATTCACATTCAAGCATGGAGTGACCTTTATGGGAAAATATGGTGAAAGAAAGGGGAGTAGAATAGAATGACGCCTGTGGACTTGAACAAAAAAGATCTTTAGTAGGACACCCAGTGTTGGGTGACCTACAGTTTTATACTGAACCCCATGCACAGACAGGAAGCCTTCAGTAGTCTTCTTTGTCGCACAATCTTCAAAGAAGTTCAGTCTGAAGTGTAATCACATGCCTCAGGCACAGGGGCTTTTAATGGAGACTCTGGAAAAGTTGGAAATGTCACATACTGTTAAGACCTGCTGTGGTTTAAACTCACAAGACATCTTGTAGCAAATGGACAGAGAAGCCTGGACAGAGTGATGTAAGGGATGATGGAGATTTGCATGGTTAGTAAAATCTCTCTTCCTGGAACTGACTTACGCATTGATCTGTATTGAAAAGAGTTTCCACAACATCAACAGGATACAGAAGACTCCAAATGTAATCTATGATATCTGAGACACCTCTGGTCTGACTTTGATGAAACTGTGTGTACTGTGATTGAAGCTGCAGTGGGTTTAGGATCCTGCAGAGTTGGCGGAATTCTAAACATTACAGGCTAGGAATACACTTATTTTGTGTCGGACAAACACAGGACAGAAAAGAAATTACCTTTTTTTTTAACAGAATCACAGTGAATATAATATATATAGTGTTTGTTTTTAGATTTTTAACTGTTTATAATGATTAACAATAAAAAACACTTTGCAAAATAGAAATCTGTACAAATGGATCTGTCACCACCCAGCTTTATTTCATAAGAGTTGGCAGCAAAGATAATTAGCCCACTTCATGCCTGAAGAATTTTACTGGATTGAAAGAGTGTTGCTGCTTGATTTTCTTTTATAACAAAGCATACAAATGTTTTGGTTGCAATAAGGCTTAAGTATAACATAACTTTGCACTCCATTAAAAAAGAACACACCAGGCACCAAGAATGCTCATGTTTTTATTTTATCATCTGCATTCTATATTGTGTTTTTATGCCTGTGATACAAGACAAATTTCCATGAGAACAGATTATAGAAGTATTATCTTAAACACATTATCAACTAAAACAATCTCTTCACCAAGGAATAGCAAAATTCAATAAAATCATAATTACCATAAGCATAATCAAGCTCAACCTAAGGAGATGCACTGAGGGTGATTTTCTCGCCTTGGCAGGAACACTGTCCTTGGATTAAACCATGAACTTGTGCGATTTTGCTCAATCGATTGCATGCCTGTTCTTCACACTGCAAAATGGATTTGGAGTTGAAAATGAGGAAGGGGAGTCACCCTTAAGAGAAAGCGCTGTTCTCCTCTATGCTCGTAAATGAGGCGTGTTCAGCTGCTCACACACACAGGCGGTGAGAAGGTGCCAAGAGCCAGCATCCATCCATCTGCTGAGTTCAGCCCTTTGCAGTGCAGCCAAATTATACAGCTACAGATAATGCTCTACACACAACGTAGAATCCAATTATATGCATTTGCTAATCTACATTTTAAC